AATCCGTCCACACCCACATCCACACCACATCCATCCACACCCACCCACACCAACACGCACACCCACATCCATATCCACGTCTCTCACCCACACCAAACCACACCCACACCCACACCCTAAGTGGTTGTAGGAAATATATCGAGCTTACGGAACTGTCACCTGTGGGCACCCTATAACCGAAGATAGCCGAAGGGCAGGGTATTCTTATTCTTCTGAATTTCGAAGATGAACAGAATAGCTGATTTCTTACGCACTTGATTTAATGTAAAATTACACGCAATTCTTTTCAACGATTATGTTGCTAAACAGTTGCATATGTTCTCAATGTATCAGAATTTCTTGTTCTCAAGCACGATTTGCGCAGTACTCGTAATCGTACTCGTGCTCGAAAAAGTCCGTACTGGCCTAGCTCTGCAACATGCTATAAAATCGAGTCATACTTGACAATTTTGACCATTAGATTTTTATTTACGAGCAAAATGCATGTGATATTCGGAATGAGCATAAAAAACTGAGTCAAATAACATATGTTTCACTAAACAGTAATTTTTCATTAAGGGTGTGGGTGTGGATGTAGTTATAGATTAAAAAAAAATCCACATCCACACCCACACCCACACCCTATTGTCTCAACAATAGGAAGTGCACTATCGACAGATTATCAAACATATTGTAAGCTATGAGACACTCAACATATGAGTAATATAAGTCCCATTTTTTGCTCGAAAGGTGTCGAAAAAAGTGATTTATTGATTAATTTCACCAAAAAAAGTATAATTTCTAAATTTTTTCGTTACATTTTTTGTCTGAAAAATAGATAGAAGTTCTAATGTGATTTCATGGTGAGACTAAGCCAGAAATGCTGGAACGATAAAACTGTCTTTGTACTATTCATGAATTAGAAAGAAGATGAATTTTTATCATGGCACTTGGAAATATTAAGTTCTTAAACCTTTCCCTTGCAAAAGGCAAAAAAAGACGAAATTTCGTAACGGGCGATATTTTAAATCTTTAATTTGATGAAGCTAGACTCGATCAGAAATGATCTGATATTCTAACAGTTTGCTAAAAACTAAACAAATTTTGCATGCAACATTTATTTCTATGTTACTTTGTTTCTTACAAAAATACTTAACTTTTATCTACTCTAAAAAAAAATTTCCTTTTTCTTTTGGAAACTGCGTAACGCATGGCCACGCCGCTGTGGTCTCCCCAGGTGAAATTTCAACAAAAATTATTTTAGTGAAACATGTTATTCGACACAGTTTTGTATGCTCATTCCGAATATCACATGCATTTTGCTTGTAAAATGGTGGGTGTGAGTGTCAGTGTCGGTCTTTTATTAGCCAACACGCTCATGCACCCATCCACACTAACACCCTCAATGTGAAGTTCTTTTAATCGATGTAAATATGACAGATCATCAACGACGACCGATTAAATTATTGAGTGGTTACGAGATCGTTTGTATCAACATGCTCGATCATGGACAGAGTGTTGAACGTTCGAGTGTGGATTGGCTAATCAACAAAAAAGAACGGCTGAACTTGATTCATTCCTACGGTACTTTCGTCATCTCGTTCAAATCGATGGTTTCGTCCGAGACAAACTCAAACGTGATGTTGACGAAACAATGAAAAAAAAATGAGTGCATGTCAATATAAAATATTTTGAATCTTGTCATGACACAAAAATCCAGCCAAAATATTTGTTGAGTGTCGAATTTCAACGCTTGAAACTTGATCATCTCAAAACGTATGATTGTGTTTGACTAGCTCACTTTACACATCTTCTGAATAAAAACAAAACAAGAATTACAGTCCTGTCACCATTTTCAAATATGTATCGCGTCGTGTGCGTGATGGTCTTCGCCTTAGCAGTGATGCTACATACAGTCAGCTCCACGCCGCTCGACGACTATGTTAATACACCGGATCCATATTTCGGCAGGAAACGGATTCAGACATATCCGTTTTCCACGTACACACTCTATGTGCTCAATATGACATCCCAACAATGGTTCGACTGTATATTAGTAGCAAGAAAAATTTCTCGATAGATCTATTTATTTTTTTTTCCAAGTCTTGTTCTCATCTCGACCCATCTGGTGGCACTACATGATTATTACAGTTCCAAGAGTACTTCGACGTTCAAATATTGCTTTTTTGTATATCAACAATGGCGACAACACGGATTCGTAAGTTTGCATGACGAAATAGAGGAAAATGATAGAACAATTCAAAGTTGCAATGATTCTCTCGGAAAAAAAATTTGAGAAGCCGCTTCTATCGAGTGTTTAGACATCTTGAGACGTTCAGGACTGATATATGATTATGCCATCGATCAAAATTGTAGACTCAAATATGTTTATATTGGTGCTTCTCAATTAGAGTGCCCACTAACAGTTCCGTAGCAACGTTTGCTGTGATTACGGGTAGTGTTGCCGTCGAACTTCGACAAATTCCCAATCAGCCAATTCGATTTATGGTAGGATCTATTATTTAAAGCGTTCCATGTTCACAAAACTTCATTCATTGAAGGCTGACCCAACAGAAAAGTCTCGTAAAGAAGATGCAATTATCGCATGGACTTGGAAAACATTTATTGAAGAGAATGGGAGTAATCCATATATTCTTCTTCGTATGCCAATGACGAAGGTATATCAACTGGATAGTTTAACAAATATTCCCTACATTCTAGACTACACTTGAGATTCTTCTATGTGAAACCGTGACAATTCTTTTCGACTTTATCGAAACTGAAATGTTTACTTGTACTGTCTTTGTAACAGTCATTTCTCATCCCGTGTATGAGGCGTTTTTAAGTTACTTTAACTTAGCCACATCTTCAACAAATCATAGGCTGCCGTACGAGCCATGGATGCAACAGAGGAGTTATTAAAGCAAGACGGAATACCAGTGCCAAACAACTTTGTCGTTGCAGGAGAATCCAAAGTAATTAAGTGTATTATGAAAATATCCGATTGAATTATTTTCCATTGTAGCGCGGATGGACAAGTAAGTATGCCAGAGGCTGCATTCATTATAGATATAACTCATCAAAATAGCTTGGACGACGGCTGCTGTGAACAACAATCGTGTATCGGCTGCTGTTCCTGTCGTCATGAATATACTGAATCTTCAGAAGGTAGGAATGAGAGAAATACATGAATAATACTTTGATTCTGCTGGTTTATTGATATAGAACATGATGCACCATTATCAAGTACGTATAAATTACACTGTTGTTTAAAACAAACTCGATAGCATGTTTAAAGTCGTTAGCCGGATGGTCATTTGCTCTCGATGATTATTACAAGCTGAATATCACGACTTACCTTGAAAATCCCTATTTACAGAAATTAGCCAAAATCGTCGATCCTTACTGTAGGATACTCTTCAATTCATCAATAAGATTTGATTTTGATTTTTCAGTCTACTTTGATCGATTTGCCCAAGTAAAATTGTTTCAAATAGAAGCAGCTGATGATACATTGTTTCTACCGGATAGCGAGGTACCATTGACTTGAATTGAACAGACATATTGATATTTTCGTAGGATTTGTATTTGGATGATCTACAAGTGAAGACGGGTGGTTCCTATCTCAGGTAGGAGGTTGTCTGGTAGGAAAAAGTAAGAGTCGAACATATCAAGACGCATTGATAGACGCATTCCCAATAATGGACACAACATAGAGGGATATGAAGGAAGTCTTCAAAGTTTTTATTTGAGCGTTGCTGATGTAAGTCAATATTTTATTTGCATGTTTTTGATGACTGGACAGTTTAGAAACAAATTCTACCTTCATTCAAATGGACACGAACAATAAATCAAACGCACGGGGAGATTCGTGCAGTTATCGATTTTAGTGCTGGTCAGCCCAAGCCGATCAATGTCACCGCCTATCAAGCTCGAACTATTAACGGCACAAAGTAGAGAATATATATAAAAGCGACATATTCTCATTGAATGTTTATTTCACAGGCGCGATTTTCGAGAAACGAAATTAGATCCGACTACCGGCAAGGAAATCCCCAATCCTATTATTTGGTTGAATATGCCTGTTAAAATTGAAGTTAAACGAATATATATTATCATCGAAGTACTCCTTTGTCTTTTATAGGCGCAGACTGATACATCGATTACCTATTCATGCATCGGACCTATCCCACCGAGTGGCTACTGGGATGGCATGTTCATTCAAGTGACATTTCCTGGACGTGACAGTACAACATTAGATTTGACCACAGAAACGCTCATCTTGCCCAACGCTTATCCAGTGGATCCATGCACAGGTGAAGCCTGTCATGGTAGCCTTGTCTAATTGATCTTTAAAACCTGATTCAATACATAAACTTCTCAAAATAAAGGATGCATCGTGAAAGAATGAACGAATGGTATTCAAGAACTGAGAAATAGGAATTCCTAAACTATTGGGAAACTATCAACGAAGTCATCATAATTCTTTAGGGACTCGTGGAATTGGTCCTGAATTTCCTTACAGTTGCACGATTCTCATGAGTGGGTGGGTGTGAGTGTAGGTGGGGTGGGGGTGAGGATAGGGTGTGGGTGTGGGTGTGGTTGAAGAGATCCATACACCCACACACCCACAATCAAAATTGAGAAAAGTTATTTTACTAGACATAAATAATGCAGCTTGTAATTCATTCGCACGTGAAGTTATCATCGATCATAGAAATGCACTTGAAGACGATGATGATATTATGAACTACGAGTTGCCTTCATTAACGGCTAAATGGTGTTGGCAAGATGATGATGATGATGATGAGAAAATCTATGATGAAAACCATACATGTCAAATTGAAGACAATTTTCAACATTATTTGAAAACATCTACCATATTACCATCGGTAATTCCTGTAGATAATTGAAAAAGTGGTACTATTGTGGACTACAGTATCCATTTTGTGCCTAATGTGAAGCAATTGTTGACAAGTAATAGAAGTGCACTAGATGATCACCTTATCTGTGGATATCAAATGAGAGAAAGTACCGGCTATAAACGAGATATCATTCGCTATCCAGTAGTACAAAAGACTCAGTCAACACCTGTTACTTATTCTCCTAAACCATTGGATCTATATAGCTTGCAAATGGTAACAACTAACGATGATTGGGATATTGTCAGTATCACCAGTGAAGCAATAACTGAAGCTGAAATAGCAATTAGAAAAGCAATTGTCTCTGCCACTATTTCGGAACAATACTCCGTCAATCTGGACAAAGACATCAATGTACATAAAGAACAAAATAAATCTATTGCAACACAACAACAAATTCAAATTAATTTTCAACAAGAATGTTCGGAACAACTACCAATGATATTAAAAGGTTTGAAACCAAGTGTACAAGAAGCCAAATTAAAAAATACTTTATACGCTCATGATATTTTGAAAATGCAAGTAGATAACGATGATAAATTGCGCATACCTAAAGAATGGAGTGATCAAAAAGAAGGATGCAACTTAGTTGAAATTCCTAGGAATGATCCTACCTTCACTCGTATTGAAAACAGTATGAAAGAAACTATGAATAATGTGAAAATCGATAAAATCGAACGAGTGCAAAATGTACGCATGTGGAATCATTATGTGTTTCGTCGTCGAGAACTTAGAAAAGAACTGAGTATTATGCCTAATTTACAAATTGAAATAGAACTATTTCATGGAACGAGAACGACACCACCAAGTGAAATTTACAATGGTGAATATAGTTTCGATATGACATATAGTACAAGTGGTATGTGGGGTATCGGTACATACTTTGCTAAAAATGCTTCATATTCTGGCGGCAGCTATGCTTATCAATTACCGAATGGAAAACGCCAAGTATTTTTAGCCCAAGTTTTAACAGGAGACGTATATGATTGCCAGAAAGATCCATCTTTGCGTCGACCGCCGAAGAAAAATGAGACAGTGTCTGGTCCACGATATAACAGTGTATCAGGCGATACAGGAGGCAGTAAAGTTTACATTGTGTATGAAAATCGTGTGGCTTATCCAACCTATTTGATTACTTTCACTTTATAACTTTTAAAAACTTCCATTGAACTCGTTTTCAATAAAATAAACAACAAGATTTGGATAGCAAAGACTCCTTTATTGAGTTGCACATTAGAGAAGGAAATACACATTCTATATTGAAATAAAAACACTTTTAACAAAACCCTTATCGGATTAAAATCCAAAACACGATGAAGTTATTTTCAGCATGATAGCAAAACTTCGCCATATCTGTCACAACACATTATAGAAATCGTAAGTCAGGGGTGTGGATGTGTAGGTGTGGGTGTGGTGTGAGTGACTGTGGTTATGGATCTAGCGATACTTATTACGTACATCCACACGCACACGCATACACCCTATTCTCAAGTGCATGTTCCAAAGAATATGGATCTCCAAATGATCGTACGGTTTATTGTAATAAAATCCAGTGTATATACCCTTCAATTCAATTGTTTATGTCTTTCTATTCTAAATGCCAACAAAGATATGATTGATCAATTATAAAACTTGATCGAATCAGAGAAATTACTTTTTAATTATAATATGGATTGTATTTACAATAATATTGTTTTCAAATAGAATCGATCTTGATTTATCAATTGTGAATGATTTGCTTTACATAAATATCAAATGTTTGTTTATCCAAAATAAAAATTATTTTTGCAATATAAATTATTTGAAATTTTGTTTTGATAAATATGCTGATTTACATGGTTTTTTTAAACTTTTGTATGAGGCAATTTGTATTGCATGAAGAATGAACATCTGAATCATATTTGTTTTCTTTTATTTTGAAATTTATTGATTGATTAAAAAGTTGTATTATATGCTGAAAGAAATTATCATTTGTCAGTAGATTGTTACCATTGGATATTTCGAATTAAAAGTATCTGATTAGCATCAGTTAGTAATAATATTAGTCAAACTTTAATTTCGAATTTACTACAATTTGAAATTAAAATTACACAAACAATGCTATTTGGGTGCTTTTTTCAAATAAAGCATTGATAAAAATCCATTGTTTAATCTTCGACTACATAGTCAAACATGAAACCAGAGATTCTTAAAAAATTCATTTTTTTCATTAACTCATATTTTGTCATGAAAACGTTAATAGAATTGTGAAAAGCGCCATTTTCTGATTTTTTTTGAGTTGTATAATTGAAATTTCAAAGTGAATGTGTTTAACGAAATATTAGTGTTACGTTAGAGAAGCAATAGATAGATACACGCATGTAATTATTGATTTTGCTTTTTATTGAATAAATTTCAGAAATTTGATATTAAACTCGCAAGATAAGATTAATCGAGTTTAAATTGATCAACTATAAGCTGTTGGTGGATAGTTTTCGAAGTGCATCGAGATCTCTGTCAGCATTTGGCGTACTTCTCGATCAAAAACCTGTCAATTTGGTTTCTGTTAACCACATTTGCCATCGTGCACCAACTGGAATGGCGCCGAAACCACACATTGATCCTTGCAAGTCTGTACAGACGATAATTTGCGCACCAGCCACGGTGCCCTGAATGATAAAATGTCACATTCAACACAACAATTTCATTTGTTTTTTTTTACTCACTTTGAATGCCTCATCCACTTTCATGGTCATATCGGCATAGCCCATGAATGGATTCGATTGTGTTGTACTTGTAGCAATTACACGTCCAATGAAGATAATCGGTGTTCGAGCAAAATCATCGCTTAATGATGGCGGAAATATGCATGAACAACAAATGGTTGATCCAACAAGTCCATAAAGCAGCAAAAATGAAAGAAACACTTAGCTAGTCAGTGATAAAAGCGAATGTAGGTGTGCAGAATAATCAAGACAGAATAGCGAAGAATAAAGTGCACAATGCATTTTCATCGCAGCGGTGTTATGCAAATCTGAGAAGCACAGCAATGAGTCGAGTAAATATTTGCGCAGAATAATGAATCTTAATGCCCTCAAATAACATATTTATCGATAGAGGCTTCGTTTAGAAAGTCTGAGTCGACGAAGAACCAATTTTCGTTCGAGCATACTTACGACAATCCAAAAGTAAAGGTGGAGATATTTTAATTTCTTATAAAAAGCCTTAAGAAACTTTCTCTCTGTATAGTTTGATAGTGAAAACAATGCTCTATTTTTTCTATGTTATTGAATCATTCTTCAACTAATATCACAAGAAGAAATTTTCGATAAGATCTGTTTTGTTATCATATGTACTGATTATATTAGGTTATATTTTCTCTTCAATATGTATCCTTTTTTTGTTATTCTCTTTGTTCTTTTCCTCTCTTTTTTTCTCGTTTCCTACAATGCCTAGGAGTCCATGACGTAGGTGAATTATAAAAAAATTCAGATTTATATCCATTCTGACGAGGGAACATCCCCAACTGGCAAAGCGCTTTTCGGATGAGACTATTGCCATTCGATCAGTCTTGGTGAGTAGAAAAAAGCCTGTTTGGGTTCGATTTTCTGGTCTTCTCTTGCCAAATTACGGGTATTTTACTCGATTTTTGACATATGATAATAGGATCTCAGAATGGCTGAATGATGAAATTTTGAGCTGAAATTTTGTCTATAGTTAGGCCTTATAGCCACTAGAAACTTCCAAACGTTTGAGCCAGAACCAACATATCCTTATTGAGATATCAGCTTTTCATAAAAACGTCTTTGATGTGAAACATAGCCCAAAATAAGTGTTTCTTTAAAATGTGAATACCTCGGTAAGGATACGTTGGTTTCGGCTCAAACTTTGGAAAGTTTCTAGTGGCTATAAGGCCTAACTATACACATAATTTCAGCTCAAAGTTTCATCGTTCAGCCATTCTGAGATCCTATTGTCATATGCCAAAAATAAGTAAACAACTTCAGATTTTATTGGGCTGAAAAAGACGTTAGAAACTCCTGTGCTGTCATACTTGAAATATCAATCAAATCCTGAGTTACAGTTCAAATACATTTGACACAAGATGAATGTCTGTACTAGTGTCAAGAAACTTTTCCCTATTCATATGACATTTTGACTTGTATTAATGATTTTTACTCGAATCACTAAAGAGTCCGAAATAGGTTGATTTATAAATCGATATAAATAAATCGATTTATAAATCGTAAATTTTTTATCGAAAATTTAAAATAGTTATAAACATTTTCTATATTTATAAATCTAGCTTATTTATAAATTCATTCTTGACTTATAAATGCATAAGCGATTTATAAACATCTGACCACTTTATAAATCTGGTACTGATTTTGAAATCCAGCTGTTATGCCACTGAATTTCATTGCTGAATCCTTAATAAACAGATAACGGATGAATGTACAGACAATTTGTAAAATTAAGAGTTGAGATCTATCTATTTCCACTAATTTCATACAATTCTTGAGAGAAACATATGTCGTTTGGTAGACAAAAAAGTAAATTTCTACTTAATTTTCGGTTCTTTTATCAGATACGTTTTGGCTTTTTTAATATTCACTTGCAATAGAACATGTTTGAACAGTACAAATAACACGATATGAATAAGAAATAAATAGAAATGCCCATTTATCACGAAAGATGGACGAGCACAACATCAGAAAAGAAAGCCAATTAATGATAAAAAGCATAAAGATGGCCAGAGTGTAAAATGATTGTGTCACCTTTATGCTTCTAATCGTTAATATGGATAAAAATATCGTTATAACGGAAGTACGCCTTTGCTAAGTCTAAAGTTACCGATGCCCTGAGTACAAAGCAGATCTTTACTAAAGTCTGTGAATTTCTTGAAGCATGTTAGTCGAGTTTTAAATATCGACTCAATTTATAAATGTTAACCCAATTTATAAACGTCGTAAACTTTTGCAATTTTTGTTAAATTTAAATTTTTTGAAAAATCATTTCGGACTCTACAGTGAGTCAAAGCAGACGCACTCTTACAGAGATTTTTACTTTTCCACGAAATACTTGAAACAAAACTTATTCTATTCTAGGCACATTTTTTCTTCTCATTCTAGGCAAAAGTGATTGATACTATGACTGAATATCATTGTGTCAATAGGCCATGCGTAGATAGAATCATTCGGATGCTGGAAGAAAGGAGCTTGTTCTTTGAACAGGCGTTTTGCTTTTGATTACATAGTAATAGAGAATCTTTCACGAGCATAATGTAAAGTGTTTAGAGGAGGTAAACAAAGCGAAAATCGGTTATTCTTCAAAAATTATATATAAGACGCGACAAAAATGAAGATGAGCATCAAGTAAACGACGCTCATTCCTGTATCAGAAGAGATCATACAAAGATATATTGTCAAAGTCGAATTTAGTTGGCTTATATAGCTAAAACTGCACAAAGAAACCACAATAGTGCAGAAGTAATTAATAAAATGCAACACAGAGAAATACGTAAATAATGAAATAATAGTACTTGTTTATTGACGTCTACAATTCGACATACTGGACATTGTCGATGAAATGATTTGATCCGGCCCTATCGCGTTATTTATTTTTGGATATAATATTTGCGAATATTTTTTAATTAGAAAATATTTAACTTGACGACAAAAACACAATGATGAAAAGATATATAGATAGAAACTGATCTAAAAGAAAAATCACATCAATAAATTTTTTCTTTCTTTAGATTAACATAAAACGCTTACTGAATAATGCATGGAGGCCAATGAAATAGTAATAGCAGTGATCAATTGGTTCAATGCTAATTGAACATCATTAAGATATTTGTTACTGAATGTACGAGAATAATGCATGACATAGGAAGTGTTAGTGGAATAAGAACCATTGAAGTAAGTTGTCGATCACGCCATCAACGTTCACTAGGTTTTGGAGTTCGAATAACTTTCCGAACATTCAAAACAGCAAGTATACTAAATATGGTCATGATAGACATTGGTAAAAAAGCCGAGAAGAATATAGAAATAACCGATTGAATAATATTGACCATAGATTTGATAATAAATCGAACTGTCAAGTGATGATTGAATTTTGAAAAAGATTAGAGTAGATATTCCATGCAATGACCACATCATAATATT